ACAGGAGAAGGGGTTTGTTGCACAATGGGATATCTGCAACATTTCTTTCAGGTATCCTGGGGAGTCTTGAGTGTCTCTGAGAATCCTATTTCTGGTGGGAAGAAAGAAGTTCCTAATACTACATTATCTACCTGTATTGATCTTTCATGAATACACAATGGAATTTACCAGAGGCTATATGATGTATGATATCAAAACAGATTAAAAGTGGAACGTGAAAATCCAGCTCTTTCAATAAGCCAGATATTAAAGGGATTTTCAAAAGAATGTAAAGCAAAGCCTCTCTTCTCATTAAATTATACATGTTTGGAAAAATATAGTTATTTTTCTTTTTAAATTGTGTATTTTAACAGGTAATGGATTCTTATTGTCCTAAATGAATTAACAAACATTTCACATTTTATATTTCTAATCTGGTAAATGTAATCTGGTAGATATAATCTATATAAACAAAAACGCTTTGGTAAATCTAATCTGGTAGATATATTCTGTATAAAAAGAAAATTCTTTGGGTTCCTCAATAATTTAAGAAAGTAAAGAGATCTGCAAATGAAAATATTTAAGAACTACTTCTCTAAGTAAAGAAGTAGCTCAAGGAAGAGGTTGGGAAATAGCACAGGGAAAAGATACTTGAGCAGAGTTTTGAAGAACATGTGGATAAAGCAAAAGTCCCTGAATCCTGGAGTGTGAAGTGTGGGGTGACGGGAAATGAGGCAGTGGAGAAAGTAAGCCATTTCAGAAGAGACTCCCATGCTGTTCTAAGGAGCTTGGACTTTATTCTATAAACACTAGAGGGCCAGCACAGAGTTTTAAGTATGAAAAGCTGGACGTTGTTGCAATACCCTTGAATCAAGGGAAGACCTTTAGATCTATGCACAGAATTCTTGAAGAAGCAGAGTCAAGTCAGTAGACCTTAGAGATTAGACCCGCCGTCCCAGAAGAAGAGGAGAACTAATTATGTCCCTGTTTTCTGGCTGAGACATCGGTGGTAGCAACAACCAAGAAAACTATTACAAGCAGAAGAGAAGATTTTCTGGGGAAATGATGTTTTCTGTTTTGGATATGTTAGCTTTGGAGTGCCTGTGGGGTGGAGGTGTCCCAATCATCAGTTCCATATATTGGTTGGAGCTAAGCAGAAATGTCCAGGTTGGAGATGTAGACTGGGAGTGATAAACATATAGATGGTAATTGAAGCTGTTGGTGTGAGTGTGATTACTCAGGGACATATGATAAGAAGGGACCATGAGGAAGGAGACAAGAGCAGTATAGTATAATGGCTTACAGCTTGTGCTTTGGAATCGGCCAGACTTGGAATGGCATTCCAGCTCCGCCTTTCAAGATCTGTGTGATCTTGGACATATGGCTTAACCTTTCTATTTGTGTTCTCATGTGTAAAATGAGAATAATAATAATACCTACATCACAGTGTTGTTGGGAAAATCCAACAAGTCACATTCCTGTAAAATGCTAACTCAATGACTGGTACTTAGTAACACTCCATAAATAGTACCTCCTCTTACTATTAGCATCCATACATGAAGAAACCATATGTGAAGAGGGTCAAGAAAGAGGGAATGGTGCCAGTGTGAAATGCTGTAGAGGCCAAGTAAGATAAAGACTGAGGAATATCCTTGGAATTTGAAAATGAGTAGTTCATGTAAACTTTCTAGTATAATTTTCCAGTATGTATAATTGCAGTCATGTAGTGAGGATACAATCTAGATTACAGGGGTTCAAGGAATGTGTGCATGCAAGAACTAAGGAAGTAGAGATTGATCATTTCCTTACCCGCTGGTTTTCACGGACCATTGAAACTGCAAAAAAAAAAAATTGTGGCGTTGGGATGGTGGAAAGCTGACATAGGGTTGAAAGGAACATTTTTAACACCAAAAAAGATGAAAAAAGATAATCCTACAATAATAGGCCATTTTTAAATTGGGCAAATGCAGCTTTTTAAGAAACTATATTTTCCAAATATTTCTAATTTTGCCATAGATGAATGAAAATTTCTTCCAAGGATGTGGACATATGAAGGCCATTGGGGTACACTTCTTCATTTGTTCAGCAATAATTCAAAATGTACTTATTGAGTGAGGCCCTCTGCTAAGTGTTGGGGATATACTGTGGAACTAAAAGGACACGAATCCAGTCTTAATGGAGTTTGTGTTACTGAATCCAAGCTCATGCCACTCACTGCATGATATGACAGTAAGTCAAGAGATAAGATGTGGGGGCAAGGAAAGTGACTCTATTCAGAAAGCCAGCAGACCAAGAAGATGGTGAACTAATGTCTTAAAGAACCATCTTAACTCAGAGTTGATTTTCTTTTATATTAGGGAAGAGAGGTAGGAGGGGATTGCAGTCAGGAGATGACTATTGACCTCAGACATCTGGAAGGCAGCAAGAGTCTGAGGGTGGTGGTGAAACTCTTGTTCGTGGTTAGCTGACTCCAGTCATTTTGTTGACACGGGTCTGGCCATGATGTTCCTATAAGTCCTTGGCAATCCAGTCATCATTTCTGTGCTTATTACTTTCTCTCTTCAGGGGAGGAGAATTTTGGGCCAGGGGCTGGATGCATCATCTTAAGTCATGAGCAAAATTCCTTTTGATGATTAATAAACCTACGTGCAGGGCTGCAGAGCTGAGAAGCAGCTTTTTGAACCAAAGATTAAGGGATCAAAGGAGTCAGATACAATATGAAGTCAGAGATTTTTCACTCTGTTACACTTGTTGACTAGTTATATACTAGTTGGGGGAGACAGGTCATTCAACAAATAATCGTCAAATATATACTAAATATTTTAATAAATAGTATGAAGGAAAAATGCAGCATGTTAAGAGTGCTTATAATAGGAGGATCTGACCTTGTATGGGGGTTCTGGCAGATTTCCCTAAGAAAGAGACATTTAAGCTTATATCAGAAAAATCAATAGACATGAAACATGTGATGAAGGCAGTAGGCAGGGTAGAGGATCCCAACACGTGTAAGGCCTATGGGTATTCCAGGGCACCAACAGTATCTGGGACTAAATCGCCAACACTGCAGAGCAAAAGAGAGCCTAGTGCAAGATGAGGTTGACAAGGTAGGGTGATGCTAGATCAGGGCCTGGTAGGCCATACTATGGATTTTAACTTTGACTATAAGAGCAATAGAAACAATTTGAGGATGCTCATTAGAATGACATGGTAATATTTATGCTTCTGAAAAATGATTCCTGCCTATTGTATGAAGCGTGAGCCCTACATCACCTGGCCCTATTACTTCTGACCTTCTCTCCTACTACTCTTCCCTTCACTTTGTCTGTCAGTCACACGCAGCTTCCTTGTGGAGCCTCATTGTTCAGGCAAACTTCCACCTTAGGGCTTTTCATTGACAGATGACTTATCTGGACTGCTCTTCCCAGACATTCCTGTTACTAGCTCCCTCACCTTAATGTCTTAGCTCTAATGTCAACTTCTTCCATGAAACCTTCACTGACCATTCTATCTTGAACTGCAACCTGTCTCTCCTTCCACTTCCTGATCCCTTGTTTACTTTCATTTTTAAAAATACCATCACCATCTAACATACTATACACTACAATTATTATATCTATTTAGTGTCTAATATTCACCTTTATCACCACCCCAGCAGAACATAAGTTCCATAGGGCAAAAATGTTGACGTTTTATTCCCTGATGTAGTCTAAATGTATGCCCAGGACAGTATCTGACATAAAGGAGGCGCTCAATATTTAAATCAGTATATCAACAGAAGTCAGAAGAATGGGGAGACTGATATCAAGCTATTTAAAATGCAAATGGTTATTTAGTGCTAAAACGACTCTTCACAATTATATCACATCTTAATGAAACCGTTTAGAGTTCTTTCTACCTGAGCGCCCTACGCCCTGTGTTCTTTGTGGGTCCTACACACACAAACCGTTTTAATAATTTCTGAACCTCTGGTGTCCAACGAAGTCCCTGGCACATAATAAGTGCTCAAAAGAGGTTGCTGGGTAAATTAACAAACCAATATTTCTGTGCCCTCAACTACTTCCTAGCTCGTAAAGAGGAAACTCTGGGCCTAAATCACTTCGGCAGCCCTCATCTCCTACACCGCCCACTTCGCACAGAGCTCAAACCGAAGCACAGGATTTATGACGCAATAAGACAGCGCCCTGGGGAAACGGAGGGTTCTGCAAGCTCCGGGTCACGTGATGATGCCGGGCGTGACGTCGATGTTCTTATCCCAGAGTGCTTTGTACTTACTTCCTTTTTATCCTTTTCCGGCCTTCAAGATGTCGAAGCGAGGTGAGGATTTAGTTCTGGGAGATCCTTCGCCATCTGTTGTGATGTGGCTGCTGGCTTCACCGGGAGCGGCGGCCATGGGCGGCTGGGACGCTTTGCTGTCCTCCGGGCCAGAGAGAGAGAGGAGGGTCATCGGGAGAGTACCGGAGGGGTCCCCGAAAGCGGCCGAGGTGTGGGCCTGAAGAATTGAGCTGGCAGGATCTAAACACTATTCTAGACCGAACCCCGTAGGACCGCTCCGCGCCCAGCGCTGCAGTAATAGGGTGGAAGTTGGACTGGTTTAGGCATTAGAGTGGGCGACTTGTACGGTCTCCCACCTTGCAGGAAGAACTACGTGGTGCAAAAGTTGGAGTGAGAATTGAGTCGTCCAGGCCCTTTAATCTCAACGTAAGGGTGGTAATGAAAAATTGGTTATTTGCCATGAGACCTAGATGGCACATGGGGAGGAGGTAAGGAGGCCTAGAAAGAGCGAATCTGTATGTAGTGTACCGTTTCCCAAAGCATGTGCGAATGAATTTATAGCCTGAGAGTATGAAGGGAACTCCGAACTATGACTGGACAGTGATCTTTCTTGTGCTTCCTTTCCTTCCCACAGGACGTGGTGGGTCCTCCGGTGCAAAATTCCGAATTTCCCTGGGTCTTCCAGTAGGAGCCGTGATCAATTGTGCTGACAACACAGGTGAGACCTTGGGCTGCACCCTCCTGAACTCCCCCTTCTAAAAGCACTTGATGGGCCTTTTGCTAATGACCCACTGAGCCGTCAAGAAAGGGCAGAGTAAAAACACCACTTCTGGGTGAAGCGGCAGCAGCTTGTGCTGTTCGGCTTCAATCGGTGGTGTGACAAGGTGTTTCACCTTGGAGGGAACTAACTGCTTGGGTTTGTGAGCAGCGGGAGAGGCGGAGAGGCTTTGGGAGTGTTGGGGAAATGTTTTGATGGCAGAACTGCCTAATAGGCTCCCCAAATAATTCATTTTTATATCCTCTTAAAGGAGCCAAAAATCTGTATATCATCTCTGTGAAGGGGATCAAGGGACGACTGAATAGACTTCCTGCTGCTGGTGTGGGTGACATGGTGATGGCCACAGTCAAGAAAGGCAAACCAGAGCTCAGAAAGAAGGGTGAGTAGAAACCTGGTCTCCTTATCCCCTGGTGGACAGTTAAAGGGCTTCTCCATTTATTGAAAAATGGAACGAAATATAATTTTACCATTCTCAAGGCCTCTTAAAGATTTCCTTTGAGTGGCAGTGTGAGATACATATTTGAAATTGAAGGTCTGCTCTTGCTGTCTTAGAGACTGTTCTCTTTAATATCCAGTTTTACATACAATGTTCTTGCCTCCTTACTCCTTAGATGTATTTGCCACACTTAAGCCAGGGTCCATCTTTTAAAACTAAATCTTGTCACTTCCTTACTTAAGTTCTTGATTGGCTTCTAGTTTAAGCTGGGATACTTCATATTTTCCCAGCAAGTTGGTATAGATCACCTCACATACCTACACCTAAATAAACAAAAGCCCTTTGTTCTGCAATTTCCAGTCCACCTCATGGTGCCTTCCTCAGCTCTCTGCTCCTTTCAGTTTTTAGTTTCTTGCTCCCTTTCCTTAGTACCTCCAGTTCTTTGTACTTGCTGTGCCTCCTGCCTGGAATACTATAGTCCAATCATCTTCAACTCACCACCTTGACATTTCCCAGTGCTGCTGCAACCCTCCCCTCCCCATTAAACCTTCATCCAGGTTGTAATTTTTGTGACGTTTAGGGTTGTCTTTTCTGTTTAAGTTCCATAAGAGCTGGTAACTGTCTTTAGTTCATTCTCAATTTCCTTGGCTCCAAATTAATTTGATGATACTTACTTAGTAAATGTATTTTTTTGATGGGTTTTTTAGAGCTTGACTAGGTGAGATCCCAGCTTTAAGACTTCCCATTATCTCGGGCAAGTTTCATATTCTGGAACTACTAGTTTGAAAGGGAATAATGATCCTTAAATTCTTTCTCAAGTGGTTGTGAGATTCTGGTGATGAGCTGAGCATGTAGAGCATCTGGCCAACATTACCTAGTACTTTATCAGTACAGAGTAATAGATGCTATTCTTAATGCTTTAAGGCAGGTTCTTTTTATAGATGAGATTGATTTAAGATTGTGATTTGTCAAAAGTTTGGCATGGCTGCTTTGAAGTCTCTGAATAGAAACTAAAAGAGAGAGCTGCTCATTACTCAGTTGTGGGCTTACCCCAAAAGTTTTCCACTGGGTGTATGAATTTAAAAAGGGAGCCCTCAGACTTTCTTTTCAGCTCCTGAACTTCCTTCCTACCTGCTTAGTTTGTCTCTGCCCTGAGATATCTTGCTTTTCCTGAGAAGTCTTAGCTTTCTCTTGTGTGCCCTACTACATATGTAATGGGTCTTAGCCACATATCACAGTTACTCCCCCCCAGGTTTTTTAGCCTTTTGGTCAGATTTTTCTTTGCTCTTTATTATCTACTTGAGGACTTGGTGGATAAGGAATAAGTAGCATTGGGGTGGTTAAGCATTGATTAATCAATGTGTAGATTGGGATCAGCATGCAAGGGGACAGACTTTCCTCTTGGAACACTTACTGAGTCTGATCTGTGGCCTGGGGAGCTGTCAGGGAAGGGCAGAGCAATTAGCCATCACGTGGGTGAGATGGCAGCAGTATGTGCTGTCTGTCTGAGTCAGTCATGGGACAGACCAGAGAACAAAAACACTTCATGGTTTTAAAAATAGTTCTGAATTTCCAACTCAGTTAATGTCGTTGGTCCTTGTTTCTGCTAAATGAATACATTCACTCGCCTTAGACTTGCATGCAGTGCATGGAAATGTGAAAAAGGGGCAGGACTGGAAGTCCAGAGTCCTGAGTTTGTGTGGCCTTATTTATCCACCAGATTTGTTTGTCCGATTTAAATGTTTATAAGTAGGCGAGGGTCCAATGGAGGGGGCCCTCAGTACATACAAATTACCTGTAACTTGTTGTGTGTCTCGTTAAAAATTTGTTTAGAGGCTGTACATAGATAGTACTTAGATAGTACTTCCCTTGAGGATAGCCAGGATCCCTGTCCTTATGAAAAATCCTGTATTTCCAGTGCTTCATCTTGAATATGTAACTATAACTTTATCCCTGTTTTTCAAGAGGAAAATTTGTGTTCCAGAAGATGTGCCTTGTTGAAGTTGTCTAAGCTAGTATCAGTCAAAATTTGAATCCAGGTGTGTCTGACTCTAGTTCTTTCAAGTATAGTAGATGCTTCTTTTGAAGGTCTGGAAAAGTGTTCACTTCAGTGCAGGTAGGTTTTTTTAAAGTTACTCATGACCTTGGAAAAGAGTTCCTCAAAAAAATGAGTTAATTGCACAAGAAATACAAGTAGAATAGAATAAGACTTCTCTTAGACCTCCAAACTATGATATTATTATCATCTAATATTAATTATTAATACTGTTAATATTTTGTTGTACAACTTTGCCAACCTCTATGCAAAAAATTAGCTTACAAACTTTCTCTGTTAATGGGACCATTTACCTTCTCATAACTCATTCTTGTTTCACAAATCATTGTCCTATATAAAAATCACAGGTGTATATAATTTTAAGTGGTTCTGCTCTGTTTACTTCCAACTTTTTGCTCTGTTAAAACAAAATATATGAAAAGCTAATGACAAATATACTTTGGCACTTTGTCCAAGTGGAAAGTGTTAGGGAGCTAGATGGGATAGAAACTGCTTTCTTGTGGCCCTGGGACTTGACAGGTAAATGACCATTGTCCTTTTCCCCCTCTTAGTACATCCAGCAGTGGTAATTCGACAACGAAAGTCATACAGGAGAAAAGATGGTGTGTTTCTTTATTTTGAAGATAATGCGGGGGTCATAGTAAATAATAAAGGAGAGATGAAAGGTAAGAAAGAATCCATGTTGTTCTTAGGTCTTTGAGATTGAATAGTGTTTAACTCAGGTCCAGAAGGAGCAAAGGTCTGATCTTAACCTGTCACCTCAACATTTTTTTATGCAGGTTCTGCCATCACAGGACCAGTTGCAAAGGAGTGTGCAGACTTGTGGCCCAGGATTGCATCCAATGCTGGGAGCATTGCATGATTTCTTCAGTGTATTTGTAAAAAAAAAAAAATCCATTAAAAATTACTTGCTCCCAATGCTTTCCTTTCTCCTCATTTCTACATGTCATTCCTCTTAATAGCACATAACACTTGTTTCCTTTGTAAGATGAAATTATTCAGTGTACATTTTTTCTGGACATGTGCAAAACTTCATAGTTAATTAGAGTTTGTAGTCCTTAAAATAAATTGCAGATAATAGGTACTGCCAGATGGCAGGTTACCCATGTAACTGCCCTGCAATTAGATATTTGAGATAGGTAGAGTATGGGGTCACATCCTGGACATTCTTGGAGTTCAAGGAGTTGAGTGAGTAGGAACCACATACACATGGATATATGCAGACTTCTACATTTACAGGCTTTTTTTTTTTTTTTTGGTAAATTGGCACATAAATGGTTTATGTTTATAAAACCTTATACATGGCAATTGCCTTGTAAATTTGTTCTCATGGAAGATGATTCAGTTAATATGCAGATTTTTTTTTGCTATCAAAGTATCTTGACAGGATGGCCATATAATGTATCTGCCAAACCCTAGTTTGACAATAAAAGGTGATACAATCATGCCAGTACAATAGGCGTAAGCCCTGGTGAGTTCTGCCTAAATGCATTGAGCACTGCAGCTTTTCTTTCCAAACCATGAGAATTGACTAAGGTGTCAATTGGTCTGGGAAGAAGAAGCACTCAGCTGCTTTGGATCAGTCTGGGCTAAAAATGTTAGGCTTTTTCAAGAAGTATAGTTTTCTGTATAGAAAATAGCCTTAAGTGTTACCTATAAATTGGGTATAATGCAAGGCTGAAGATTAGAGTGAAAGTGAAGACCCTAAGCACTTAGTCACTGGTTGAGATAACTATATTTTTTACCTTTAAGATTAGGAACAGGATGTACCAGAACTCTAGAACAGTAGTTAACCTGAGGAGTTAAGTGACCAGCCCATACCCCAGACCAATTACTATGGAGGTAGGACCCCCCGAGCATCAGTACTTTTTGAAGCTGTTCAGGAGATGGCGACGTGTAGCCAAGGTTGAGAACCAATGCTTTGTCCAGACTGGGCCAGTCTTGATTTTAGCAATATTAAATCCAGACATTTCTAAAACACCTGTCTTCCTCTCTAACCCCATCCTTCACCCTGGTGAGTTTCAAGTCTAACATGAAGCACCCACGTCCTCTTGTGGGGTTATATGAAATTTTTCACCTTCCTACTATAAATGTGAGGTGTGAGAACTAGGCCTCTCATTTTTTCCCCTAAGTTGTCTAATGTCCATGTTCTTTCCAAAGTATAATAGAATGGGCTCAAAACTATAGATTTCCTGTAATTTGAGATTGATTTATAGGTTTCCCATCATTTGGAAAGCTTATGCTAAGTATTGAATTGCCAGGCTTGGTGCTTTTTGTGTATAGGTATGTTGCAACCCTTCCTAATTAGGTAATGTCCTTTCATATAAAAATATTGTTAGTGAATATATAAAAGAATCCCTCCCTGAACCTGTTAACATTGTCTGTAAAATGAGGATAATAGCACCTCATAGAGTTGGTGTGAGGAACAGTTTTACAAGTCATTTTAATAATGTAAAGCATCTGTAAGGGCTTAACTACTCAAGGGGAAAATTTGGGAAGTCAACAGTATAAAGAAACACCAGTAATCACAACTATAGAGTATCACTCCCATTTTCCTGTATCCTGTCATAATGCATAAAATTAGCCAAAGGAAAAAATATGTCAACCTACTGGTT